TAATATGGTGTCCTCTGTGCCAGTTTTGTACCTTCCAAGAGAGGCAAGATGGCCTCCCATCGCTGTGGTTCTTATTATCAAAATTAAGTTTACTTGTATACTAAAACAAAAACGAAAACAAAAAAACCACAAGAAATTTGATTCTGTAAAGAATCCTCTTTAGCTGTGGCCTGACAGTACATATATATATATAAATATATATATATATCTACATATATATATATATATGGTGCTTTATTTAACAGAATACCTGTGGAAGAAATAAAGCACACTTGATGTAAAATTAATTGTTTTATTTTTATTGACATGACCGATTGCTATTCTGTGCACTTCATTAAACTGATTGTGATGACTTTTTATTCGTTTTTATATATGTTGCCTCACCGGTCCAGGTCCTGTTTTTCTGCCAGAACCTATACTTTGAAGAAAAACACACCACAGTCACGTGACTTCTCTGCTAATGGCGATACTATGGATGCACTTATTTTATTTTATTTATTTATTTACAACTTTTATATTCCGCTCTTCTCATCCCGCAGGGGACTCAGGGCGGATTACAACGTACACATATATGGCAGACATTCAATGCCAATTTTTGACATACAAACATACACAGAGGCTATTTAACTTCTTTCTGGCCGCCAGGGGAGCTGTCACTTTCATCGTACTTCTGCGACGCTGATGAGAGCACTTCCGCATTCCCCGCATGCTTCCCCGCTGGAATGCTTTGCTGGAGTCTTCTTTATGGCCTCATAAATCAGTTAATTTAGCCTCCCCACACTTTAAGGTGGTACCTTATTTTCCTACTTGACAAATGCAACTGTCTTTCGGGTTGCAAAGGTCGACAATAGGCTACACACAATTGGTTGGAAACCCACTCCAACCCGGGCTGGCTACGAACTCATGACCTTTTTGGTCAGAGTGATCTTAATGCAGCTGACACTCAGCCAGCTGCGCCACAATCCCGGTGCACTTTGGTTTTAGTCCAGTTTTACTGGAGCTCTCCAAAGAGCTCAACGCCATGAATAATAGGTGCTTAATTTGGGCTAAAGACTGGTTCCGATTCTTCCTTCAATGATGTGGTAGCCTCCCATTGCCATTACTTAATATCTTGTAAAGCTGGCGGGCAACTGTGGAACTCTATGAGCCACATTAACCCCTCAGAGGATCTTAAAGGGCCACACGTAGCCAAAAAATATCATATTTAGCCCTCAAATGACCTCTGGATCAGAGATATATAAAATTATTTATTTATTTGCAGTATTTATACCCTGCTCTTCTCACCCCGAAGGGGACTCAGAGCAGCTTACAGAACACACACGGCAACCATTCAATGCCGATAATACAATTAACAAGGGCAGACAACACAAACAGAGGTAAAAGCAGTTTTTCCCATCTTATTTCTAGCATCTTGGAGGCTGTGCTTGACTTTGGCCATGTTTTTTTTTGGGGGGGGGGGGTGCTGTCGTTCCATCTTCCATGCTGAGGACCTTTCCTCCGATCGATGTCCTAATGGCGTCTTTATTACCTGTTTGTGGTACCTATTTTATTTACTCATTTCTGCTTTCAACCTGTCAAATAATAATAATAATAATAATAATAATAATAATAATAATAATAATAATGGGTTGTTGTAGGTTTTTCCAGGTTATATGGCCATGTTCTAGAGGCATTCTCTCCTGACGTTTCACCTGCCTCTATGGCAAGCATCCTCAGAGGTAGTGAGGTCTGTTGGAACTAGGAAAATGGGTTTTATATATCTGTGGAGAGACCAGGGTGGGACAAAGGACTCTTGTCTGCTGGAGCTAGGTGTGAATGTTTCAACTGACCACCTTGATTAGCATTTGATAGCCTGGAAGTGCCTGGAGCAATCTTTTGTTGAGAGGTGATTAGATGTCCCTGATTGTTTTCCCTCTGCTGTTTTGCTTAAGCAGCCGAGGGGGGAAAGGAAAGGGCCTGAGGCTGTTAGGAATGATGGGAGTTGAAGTGCAAAACACCTGGAGGGCCCAAGTTGGCTTATGTCTCCTCTAGAGCCAAATGGGAGACAATAAAGAAAGTAGAAACCCGAAGGAGTCTACGGTGGTGCAATGGGTTAAACCCTTCTGCCAGCAGGACTTGAAGACTGACAGGTCGGAGGTTCGAATCCAGGGGGAGTGTGGATGAACTCCCTCTGTCAGCTCCAGCACCCCATGCGGGGACACGAGAGAAGCCTCCCACAAGGATAAAACATCAAAAAATCCTGGGCAACGTCCTTGCAGACGGCCAATTCTCTCACACCAGAAGCGACTTGCAACTTCTCAAGTTGAACCTGACACGGAAAAAAAAACCTCTACCAGAATGGACATAATATACACACACAACATGGCTTTTTATTAACACAACCTTTATTGAAACGCAGTAAGAATTCAAAGTGATCGTACTTCGAGAATATAAGAGACCATACCTGTAATTTGAGTATATGCTACATGGAGCTGTATACATAAAACACCATGAACAGGAATATGATTGGAAGAATTGTGGCACCAAACAAAGTAGTAATTTTACTTCCGTTAAGTATTGTCATGAGTTCCAGATTTGTGTTTCAAAACATTTGGGATCATGGGGTGGGGCTTTCACGTAAGTGTCAGAAGTCTTCGTAAAATGTAAACGTGCAGTTCGGATTCCGTTTCGCAAAGTACAAAAAGTGTCATCCACAGACATTGTGAAGAAGAATGTAACTTCTTCAGGCTTGGCATATTTTCCCAGCAGCGTGACATAGTGTTGCGCTAGAACTGTGACACCACATATGGTCTTTGACCATGCATTTTGAGACTGATTGAGTGAGAAACTCAACACTGATTAGCAGATATCATACCATGATCTGCAATGGAAGGTAAAAAATCCATGTGTAAGGCTTCCCATGATGTCATGTTGAAATGTTGTGTACTAAATGGATTCATGTACCCAGCTAGATCTGTGAGTGCTACATTTATTTTGCTATTTTCCATTAAGAATTATTCTGGACTGGACTTCAATCATTTTAGGATACCTTGTGCTCCATCACCGAGCCACTTTTGTAGCACCTCGCTCTAATCTACACCAGTTCAAAGGCACAGGCTGGAACTCAAGGAAGAAAACATGGCTCCAGACCGTGGACCATAATCGTCTACATCAGTGGTTCTCAACCGGTGGGTCCCCAGATGTTTTGGCCTTCAACTCCCAGAAATCCTAACAGCTGGTAAACCGGCTGGGATTTCTGGGAGTTGTAGGACAAAAATCTTAGGCATAAAAAATGAAATGCAAAGACGCCATGTATAAATATGTGAGAGGAAGCCACAGGGAGGAGGAAGCAAGCTTGTTTTCTGCTTCCTTGAAGACTAGGCTTCAAACTACAAGAAAAGAGATTCCATCTGAACATGAGGAAGAACTTCCTAACTGTGAGAGCCGTTCAACAGTGGAACTCTCTGCCCCGGAGTGTGGTAGAGGCTCCTTTTTTGGAAGCTTTTAAACAGAGGCTGGATGGCCATCTGTCAGGGGTGATTTGAATGCAATATTCCTGCTTCTTGGCAGGGGGTTGGACTGAATGGCCCATGAGATCTCTTCTAACTCTTTGATTCTATGATTCTATGATACAGAATGGGTGACGCGTGGCTCAAGAGCAGTACGTGTGAAAAACATCTTGGAGTCCTTGCAGACAACAAGTTAAACATAAGCCAACAATGTGATGCAGCAGCAAAAAAGCTAATGGGATTTTGGCCTGCATACATAGGAGTCTAGTGTCTAGATCTAGGGAAATAATGCTACCCCTCCATTCTGCATTGATTACACTACACCTGGAATACTGTGTCCAATTCTGGGCACCACAATTGAAAGGAGATATTGACAAGCTGGAATGTGTCCAGAGGAGGGCGACTCAAATGATCAAGGGTTTGGAGAACAAGCCCTATGAGGAGCGGCTTAAGGAGCCAGGCATGTTTAGCCTGAAGAAGAGAAGGCTGAGAGAGGATATGATAGCCATGTATAAATATGTGAGAGGAAGCAAGCTTGTTTTCTGCTTCCCTGGAGACTAGGGTGCAATGGAACAATGGCTTCAAACTACAAGAAAGGAGATTCCACCTGAATGTTAGGAAGAACTTCCTGACTGTGAGAGCCGTTCAGCAGTGGAACTCTCTGCTCCAGGGTGTGGTGCTGGCTCCTTTGGAAGCTTTTAAACAGAGGCTGGATGTCCATTTGTTGGGGATGCTTTGAATTTGATTTTCCGGCTTCTTGGCAGAAAGGGGTTGGACTGGATGGCCCATAAGGTCTCTTCCAACTCTATGATTCTATGATTCTAAGGAGCCTCCACCACACTGTGGGCAGAGAGTTCCACTGCTGAACAGCTCTCACAGTCAGGAAGTGCTTCTTGATCTCCTTTCTTGTAGTTTGAAGCCATTGTTCTGCGTCCTGGTCTCCAGGGCAGTAGAAAACAAGCTTGCTCCCTCCTCCCTATGATTTCCCCTCATATTTATACATGGCTATCATATATTTATATATGGCCCTCATCATGTCTCCTCTCCTCTCATATTATACAGTGAACAAAAATGATTAAAGACTTGTGACTATTTGGCATAAGTTGTGCTTATAGCAGGCATGGGCAAGCTTGGGCCCTCCGGGTGTTTTGGACTTCAACTCCCACCATTCCTAACAGCCTACCGGCTGTTAGGAATGGTGGGAGTTGAAGTCCAAAACACCCGGAGGGCTCAAACTTGCCCATGCCTGAGCTAAATGCTATCTTCCAGAAAAGAAAAGGAAGGGAAGACTGTGTAATGAAGTGTAAACATAAGCCTCAAATGGAAGATCTCTCCTGGGCAGTCTGGTACTGCAACAAATTCAGCCCAAACCAGGCAGACAAGTAGAAAGGATTGGGATCATGCCTCAAAACATTTGCATCCAAGTTACATGCAGATATGAAATTCATCGATCTGTTAGCACCATGCTTCCTCGGTAACAGGAGGAGTTTATAAACGAACCACCGCATAATGGAAGGGAGGAAAAAAGATGCACTTGTTTTAATAAGAAACAGTGTATTTACAACATAAATAATAGAAGAAAAGTCCTGCATTGGCTTAAGAAAAACATAATAATAATTTACAAGGCCTAACAGTAAGAAATAAATAAGTCACTTGGAAGCTTTTGGGGAGGAAGTGCCCGGATTCTGGAGTCCAGCACGGTCCTAAGAAGAGGCAGGAAAATGCTTTGGCTTCTCTTTGCGGGATGACGTTCCAGGGCTTTTATGTCGGGCGGCCTTGGCCAAAGCGGGGCTTAGTCCTGGATTTACAGAAACAGGTATTAGTTGCAGTGACAGGTACAGTTTAGTGGTCATTAACACCCTTTTTTTACAAAATAGGAAAACAATAATAATAATAATAATAATAATAATAATAATAATAATAATAATCCTCAGTTGTTGCAAGAAAATTGCACAGACAGACTACAAACAGAGGCACAATGTGGCCCAAATGATTCACTGGAACTTATGTCACAAGTACCACCTGCCAGCAGCAAAGAATTGGTGGGATCATAAACCAGCAAAGGTCATGGAAAATGAACACGCAAAAATAGTGTGGGACTTTCCAATCCAGACTGACAAAATTTTGGAACACAATACACCAGACATCACGATTGTGGAAAAGACAAAAGTCTGGATTATTGATGTCGCCATACCGGGTGACAGTCGCATTGAGGAAAAACAACAGGAAAAACTCAGCCGCTATCAAGACCTCAAAATTGAACTGCACTGGGACTACCTGTACATAAACCAGTACAGGTGGTCCCAGGGGTCATCGGCACACTGGGTGCCGTGCCAAAAGATCTCAGCCGGCATTTGGAAACAATAAACATCGACAAAACCACAATCTGTCAACTGACTTGGATCTGCGCGCATCATTCGAAAATACATCACACAGTCCTAGACGCTTGGGAAGTGTTCGACTTGTGATGTTGTGATACGAAATCCAGCATATAGATCTCGTTTGCTGTGACATACTGTGCTTCTGTGTCAGTAAAATAAACTTTATTTATACCCTGCCACCATCTCCCCGATGGGGACTCGGGGCGGCTAACCCTTTAAGACCCCTTAGTGGTGCAGCTGAGCCACTGAACTTGCTGACTGAAAGGTTGGGGGTTCGAATCCAGGGAGTGGGGTAAGCTCCTGCAGATAGCCCCAGCTTCTGGCAACCTAGCAGTTTGAAAACATGCAAATGTGAGTTGATCAATAGGTACCACTTTTGCAGGAAGGTAACAGCACTCCATGCAGTCATGCTGATCAAATGATCTTGGAGGTGTCTATGGGCAATGCTGGCTCTTCGGCCTAGAAATGGAAATGAGCACCACCCCCCAGAGTCGGACACAACTGGACTTAATGTCAGAGGAAACCTTGACCTTTACTTAGGAAAGCTTTTTTAAAAGATTACAATACAGACAAACCCACAGATCTCTTCGATCATCTGGAGAGGCCCTGCTCACGCTCCCACCTCCTTCGCAGGTGCAATTGGTGGGGATGAGGGAGAGGGCCTTCTCGGTGGTGCCCTCCCCCCCTGACTCTGGAACTCACTTCCCAGGGACATTAGACTGCCCCAACATTGGCAGTCTTTAGGAGGAGCCTGAGAACGTGGTTGTTCCAGTGTGCCTTCCTAGAATAAGGAGAACTCTCAGCAATATGTCCTCACAATGCACTTGAATACTAACTTAGGATGGAATACTAACTAGTTATATTGTAACTTGTTCATGTCAGCATATTTTCAATTTTAATCTATTACATTTGGCCCAGCCATTTTTAAAATTGTTTATGTCACTATTGATTGTTTATTATTTTGCTTATGTGATTTATATGATTTGTATTTTATTGATTGTTTATTGATGTTGTGTTTATTGATGTTTTGTTTGATGTACTTTGAGTTTGGCTTCATGTAAGCTGCACCGAGTCCCTTGGGGAGATGGTAGCGGGGTACAAATAAAGATTATTATTATTATTATTATTATTATTATTATTATTATTATTATTATTAGGAAGTGAAGTCTTGGGTCTTCCTCTACCTATGGCATAAAAATAGAAGCCCTGACTCTTTACAGAGGAGGGATGAGCCATTGAGGCAAATCAAGGCACCAGTTCAGAGCACTGAACTAAAAAGGACTGCAGCAAAAGGTGAGATGGTGGACTTTCCATTTACAGTAAAGTCTCGCTTATCCGACCTTTACTTATCCGACATTCTGTCTTATCCAACGCTCTTATCCGACACCCCTTCCCCTTTTTCTTCCAGCATTTCCCTTTCAATTAAAGGAATGCTCCCCAACTCTTTCTCCAATTCCAATAAGTGAAGGCAAAAGGAGGAGGGAGGAAAGGGGGAAAAGAGGCAGGACCGGAAGTGGAAGTGTCCTCCCGTCTTCCCTCTGTGATTCCCACGCTCCTTTGCCGCATCCGGGCACTTCCTGCTGGGCATTGCCTTGCCTTAATCCTTTGAGTCACTGTAGTTAGTACTCTAGGTGTCTAGCGCCACATCGGACGGATAACAGTAGGAGACTTCGTATTATCCGACGTTCTGCCAGCCCATTTATGTTGGATAAGCAAGACTCTACTGTATTTGTTTGAAAAAATAGTAATAATTCTATGACAAAAAGAGCAAAGACAAAGCTGCCAAAATATCAGAAAGCAGGGAGATTCTGCTCCTGAAGAAATACGAAAAGCTTTGCTATGTTTAGAAGGGAAATGTTTACCTTGCGTTCTTTTCTGTGATGTTCTGCCGAGTGTTAACTTGGGCAGTTGCCCTGATCTGAGCTTCAAGCCTGGCATAGATTCCAGCTGCAGACTGTAAAGCACACAAGACAATGGAGGATATACAGGTCGTTTATGCATTATTGTTGTGGTTGTTGTTTTAGCCATCAATTCTATTTCTTGGGAACCTTTCCCTTAAGAAAAACAGCTATCAATTACACAGAGGCTTCTTTCTCATGCAGATAAACAGCTTCCTCTCACACCGAACTGACACACCAGCTTTTCACAGTAGCTTTAAACACAGCTTTAAAAACGAGGCCTTCAACCTGGGGCTCCTCACACCAAAGCTTCTCACACCAGGCCTTCTCACTGTCCGCCTTCTCACAGACTAAGACCTATCTCACAGTGTAAGACCTTCTCTCACAGCCAAGGGTCTACCTTGTGGGGATTTGTAAAAAGACTGTATCGGCAGCTGATTGGCTGAGCATGCCAGGAGCCAGAATTCTGATTGGCTACTGTCTCTACCTTGCTGCTGAGACAAACGGTTTTAACTGCCACTTTCACCTCGGAGAGTGTAGAGAGCGCTGGCTGGAAACAGCCAGGAAGGAAATGGCTGCAAACTCTCTGAAGCCTGATCATTTCTAAGGCATGAAACATATTTTAAAGACTGTTTAACTCGACTGTTTATTCTCTCTGTTCTCTGTAAGAATTTAGAGAGACTGCTGTATATATTGTTGCTCTGTTTGACCCTTTGAACTGAAGTAAAGTTACTGTTACTTGTTACACAAATCTCTCACAGCTAAGGGTTTACCTTATAGGGATTTGTAAAAAGGCACCATGATGTAATGGGTTGACCGGAAAGGCTTGTGTCGGCAGCTGATTGGCTGAGCATACCAGGAGCCAGAATTCTGATTGGCTACTGTCTCTACCTTGCTGCTGAGACAAACGGTTTTAACTGCCGCTTTCACCTCAGAGAGTGAAGAGAGCGCTGGCTGGAAACAGCCAGGAAGGAAATGGCTGCCAATTCTCTGAAGCCTGATCATTTTTAAGGCATGAAGCATATTTTAAAGACTGTTTAAAAGGACTATTTATTCCCTCTGTTCTCTGTAAGAATTTAGAGAGACTGCTGTATATATTGTTGCCCTGTTTGACCCTTTGAACTGAAGCCATTGAAATACACAAGCATGTGGACAATTTCAACAGAAAGGAGGAAACCATGAAAATGAACAAAATCTGGCTACCAGTATTTAAAAACTCTAAAATTACAACAGCACAACAACAGAGAGGAAACAAACAAGGGCACCTAATCACCTCCCAACAAAAATTTCCTCCAGGCACAGTCAGGCCATTGTATGCTAATCAAGGTGGTCAGTTGAAACATTCACACCTAGCTCCAGCAGACAAGAGTCCTTTGTCCCACCCTGGTCATTCCACAGATATATAAACCCCTTTTCCTAGTTCCAACAGACCTCACTACCTCTGAGGATGCTTGCCATAGATGCAGGCGAAACATCAGGAGAGAGTGCCTCTAGAACATGGCCATATAGCCCAAAAAAACTTACAACAACCCAAAGTTACTGTTATTTGTTACACAAATCTGAATGACACATTATTATACTGCAGAGTATATTTTGGTTCAGAAACAGTGGTAAAGCTTCTGTTTATTTACCTTTACAACCTTCAACATACCTAACACTGTGAGGCCTTCTCACAGACTGAGACCTTTCTCCCACTGAGGTTTACCTCAGACTGAGGGCTACTAAGCTACAGGCACACCTGCTTACATAGAACTGTAGCTTTTGCCGAGTCATTGCATCCATTTAACCTTTTCAGAGCTTGACTCACATTTTTGCAATTAAAAATACCTAATTAATTCTTAATATTTCTGACAAGCTTTATCACCAGTGTGTTTCCACAACAAGGCAAATTTTGCAAAATCCAATTATCATAGAGACGGAAAGTAAGGTTAAATGTTCTTAACAATGGCAAAACAAGACAACAAACACCATAGGGGTGTTAATCCGTCCCTAGGCTATCCAAAGCTTTTATAAACACACACACACACACACACACACACACACACACACATATGGATGGCTAGAGTTACTCTTTAAAATGTGTCTGTTCCAACTTACACACACATAATTGCTTGCTCCTCATAAAATTGGCTATACTATATCCTTTAGTAATGCAAGCAGTTATACAATCCATGAATTATATCAACAGTAGCACAAAACAGTGCAGCTCACCTCTTTGTTTTCTTTTGATCTTGTTCGGTCAAGTTCCCCCAGCCTCATTTTTATTAAGTGTCCTGTTATCTCAACCATCCTCCGCTGATCTGCAAGAAGATGGAACAGCAACAGAAAGGTAAGAACTCTACTCATTGCTCTGCCCAGTAGCGGCTGCATTTCCCACGCTCGGCTTATACTCGTGTCAATAAGTTTTCCCAGTTTTTTTGTGGTAAAATTAAGTGCCTTGTCTTATATTCAGGTCGACTTATATTCGAGTATATATGGTATATCACCTACTCTTAGATTTGCTTATCAAGCTTTTCTCTTCAGGGTATGGGGAAGAGACACGAATTAGAACAGGCATGGGCAAACTTCAGCGCTCCAGGTGTTTTGGACTTCAACTCCCACAATTCCTAACAGCCGGTAGGGAGTTGAAGTCCAAAACACCTGGAGGGCTGAGGTTTGCCCATGCCTGCACTAGAACATTTCCTTGCAATGCAGTTAGTTCCCTGTGTGTGGACAGCAAGGAACATAACAGACAGTTTGCACTGTAGGGATGTGTTGGGGAAGTTTTGAAGGAAAAAAATGTTTATTCAGACCCTTTGCTTTTGGTGAATGAGGAGTGATGCATTTTACCTTCTTCTCGCTGAGCATCTTGGTTGTATCGTAACGATCTGGAAGCATCCCACTTACTCTGCTGCACACTCACACTAAATAAAAAGGATGAGAAAGTTACACACAAGCAAAGGGTGATCAGTGCTATTATTTGCACTTTTCAGAATGTGGCACAACTATAAAAATAAAGTTTTAAAAAGGAAAGAAGAGGAAAGAAGGGGAAGGGGAAGGGGAAGGGGAAGGGGAAGGGGAAGGGGAAGGGGAAGGGGAAGGGGAAGGGGAAGGGGAAGGGGAAGGGGAAGGGGAAGGGGAAGGGGAAGGGGAAGGGAAGGGAAGGGGAAGGGGAAGGGGAGGGAAGGGGAAGGGGAAGGGGAAGGGGAAGGGGAGGGGAAGGGGAAGGGGAAGGGAAGGGGAAGGGGAAGGGGAAGGGGGGAAGGGGAAGGGGAAGGGGAAGGGGAAGGGGAGGAAAGAAAGAAGAGGGAGGAAGGTGCATGAGAGAAAGCAAGAAAGAAGAAAGAAAGATAGAAAAGAAAGAAGCGAATGCATATTGAGGAAAATGGAGGAAGGAAGGAAAGAGCCACTAAAGAAATGCATAACTAGCACAATTTATATGCTAGTTTGAATTAAAAAAGGAAACTCTAACATTTAATGAAGTCACCATGGCCAAGAGCAACTTAGAGATCTGTCTCTATGTATGTGTCAACGTCTTAAATTATTTTAGACCATATCAAATGCACATTAGCTCCGCTCTTTGTGGTGTTTTCTCAATCCTTTCACAGAAATACTCACAGAAAAGGAGAGGCGTCACGAGAGTTAGACTGTCAAAAGAAAGAGAGATACAAAATAAGAAGAAAACAGTAATTCTGAGGTTTCTAGGGTCGGTTTTACTCAATTAGAAATCTGCAAACTGTCAAAACGACATTATTCCTGAGGCACCGATAATAATCAGGGCACACACATTAAAGTAAAACACTGTGCTACATAGCTGCAAAGTGTTACTTAATATATCCTGTCAAAAAAAGCAGTCATGGAAAGCAGAGGATGAGAAGCAGACCTAATTAGCTACGCATACATTATCCCACAGAAATCAAAAGGGGTGATTCGTGACGAAGCCTGAAGCTCGTCTTCTTGTGCTCTCATCTCAACCAGTCTCTCAAGACTCACCTTTTCCAATGTCTTATCCTTCTTTTGGACGTTGGGCGATGACATTTGCTTCTTGGGATGTTTGATGAACTTCTTTGGCCTCTCTTTTCTTCCTGCTAATTAGAAAGACTTTATTAATAAGCAGGCACCCCATCCCATCTGATCTTGAGAATGAAGCAAGGTCCCTGGATAGGATACTGTCAGGGAATACCGGGTGCTATGGACTATATTTCATAGAAAGGAACTAGTAAAACCTACCTCTGAATATCACTTGCCAATGTAAATTATGAGTTGACAGGTGACCTGACAGCAAGTACATCCATATGGCAACAATGTCTGATCTTAAATAGTTTGGGTTGTTGTAGGTTTTTTCGGGCTATATGGCCATGGTCTAGAGGCCATATAGCCCGAAAACCCACAAAAAACCCCCACACACAGATAGATATTATCTACATAAAAACTCCAACCATCACCCAAGTCTAAAAAGAAGCACCATTAAAGCCTTGGCAGACCATGCAAAAAGAATCTGCGAACCCCACCTCCTCCAAGATGAACCGAACCACCTCAACTGGGCTCTACAGGCCAATGGAGACTCCACCTCAGACATCAGAAGAGCTGCAAGACCAAGAACAAGCCACGAGAGTCAAGACAGAGATCCACCCAGAGGAAAAGTGTTCTTGCCATACTGACCGCGTAGGGAAGCCGATGAGGAAACAAAACATGCAAACTATTTACAGACTCACCAAGAAAATCCAACAAATGCTACATTCAGCAAAGGACAAGAGGGATCCTCTCACTTCTGCAGGAGTCTACTGTGTACCATGCAGCTGTGGACAAGTCTACATAGGGACCACCAAACGCAGCAGCATTGCCCAAACACGAATCAAGGAACATGAAAGGCACTGCAGACTACTTCAACCAGAGAAGTCAGCCATAGCAGAGCACCTGATGAACCAACCTGGACACAGCATTTTATTTGAGAACACAGAAATGCTGGACCACTCTCACAACCATGTCAGACTACACAGAGAAGCCATTGAAATGTGGACAATTTCAACAGAAAGGAGGAAACCATGAAAATGAACAAAATCTGGCTACCAGTATTTTAAAAACTCTAAAATTACAACAGCACAACAACAGAGAGGAAACAAACAAGGACATCTAATCACCTCTCAACAAAAGTTCAGGTCATTATATGCTAATCAAGGTGGTCAGTTGAAACATTCACACCTAGCTCCAGCAGACAAGAGTCCTTTGTCCCACTCTGGTCATTCCACAGATATATAAACCCTTTTTCCTAGTTCTAACAGACCTCGCTACCTCTGAGGATGCTTGCCATAGATGTAGGCAAAACTTTTTTTTATTCCTCTAGACCATGGCCATATAGCCCGAAAAAAACCTACAACAACCCAGTGATTCTGGCCATGAAAGCCTTCGACAATACTTAAATAGTTTGTTTCCCATGTTAATCAAATTGAAAACATGCAATAATTGATTGAAACAGAAGCCATTTGTTTGCCTTTCCCATTTGTCAATACAGTGCAGAGCAAATCAGGATGATCAATGGGAAATTATACAGGATGAGTGAAACCATACATGGATAACACTGTTTGTCATTTATTGTCTTGATTCACAATTAAGCATATCAAAATCCTAGGGTCTAAGGCAGTGGTTCTCAACCTGAGGGTTGCGACCCCTAGAGGGGTTGATCAGTGCGATGCCACTAACACTTTCTAGCAGGAGGGGAACTTCTATCTTTTTCTTTTTATATATATACCATCCCTGCCGCCGATAAACCTATATGTATACGTGTGCACAAGGCAATAATGCTGGTAAGGGGAGAGAGAGGAATAAACCTCGCAGAAACTCAGCAACTTGCGGTTCATGCCTTGAAATACGTTATCTCTGTCTCTATGTCACCTTTCTTTATATGTTTATTACAGGATTTAATCTTAAATGTCTGTATATGTCTCTTTGATGTGTAACCCAATACTGTAGTCAATATGTAACTTCCAACTTCTCCTCACAGGTTACATCAATATAAACTCCAGCTGACTTTCAGAAATGTAACTTCAGTCCTGTAACTTGACACAAGACTTTAATATCTTAGTTGAAACAAAGTAATGTTTATTTCTGAATTCTTGTGCACATTAAGCATATTTGTTACACAGTACTTTACTTTAGTTCCACTTGGATATTATTTCCTCTGTCTTTTACTCTTGAGAATACATAAATCTGATATTATATAATTTGTAGAACAGTTTAACTCATATCAACTTGGTTAGGCAACTTCCTTCTCTTTCAAATGTAATTTCTTCTCAGCCTCTCGACTAGATAACTTATATCGTATAGTCACTTTTTTCCATCAATAGTCTGACTGTAAACTTACTCCCAAATGACCCTCTGTCTCTCACTTCCACCTGACTGAGGACTTAGACTCAAATTAGTCATAGAATCATAGAATCATAGAATCAAAGAGTTGGAAGAGACCTCATGGGCCATCCAGTCCAACCCCCTGCCAAGAAGCAGGAATATTGCATTCAAATCACCCCTGACAAATGGCCATCCAGCCTCTGTTTAAAAGCTTCCAAAGAAGGAGCCTCCACCACACTCCGGGGCAGAGAGTTCCACTGCTGAACGGCTCTCACAGTCAGGAAGTTCTTCCTCATGTTCAGATGGAATCTCCTTCTTGTAGTTTGAAGCCATTGTTCTGCGTCCTAGTCTCCAAGGAAGCAGAAAACAAGCTTGCTCCCTCCTCCCTGTGGCTTCCTCTCACATATTTATACATGGCTATCATATCTCCTCTCAGCCTTCTCTTCTTCAGGCTAAACATGCCCAGCTCCTTAAGCCGCTCCTCATAGGGCTTGTTCTCCAGACCTTTTATCATTTTAGCGCTCTCCTCTGGACACATTCCAGCTTGTCAATATCTCTCTTGAATTGTGGTGCCCAGAATTGGACACAATATTCCAGGTGTGGTCTAACCAAAACAGAATAGAGGGGTAGCATTACTTCCCTAGATCTAGACACTATGCTCCTATTGATGCAGGCCAAAATCCCATTGGCTTTTTTTGCCGCCACATCACATTGTTGGCTCATGTTTAACTTGTTGTCCACGAGGACTCCAAATTCTTTTTCACACGTACTGCTCTCAACCCAGGCGTCCCCCATTCTGTATCTTTGCATTTCATTTTTTTCCCTGCCTAAGTGGAGTATCTTGTATTTGCCTCTGTTGAGCTTTATTTTGTTAGTTTTGGCCATCTCTCTAATCTGTCAAGATCGTTTTGAATCCTGCTCCTGTCTTCTGTTGTTAGTTTTGGCCCATCTCTCCAATCTGTCAAGATCGTTTTGAATTCTGCTCCTGTCCTCTGGAGTATTGGCTCCTCCCAATTTGGTGTCGTCTGCAAACTTGATGATCATGCCTTCTAACCCTTCATCTAAGTCATTAATAAAGATGTTGAACAGGACCGGGCCCAGGACGGAACCCTGTTTGTGGCACTCCGCTCGTCACTTCTTTCCAGGATGAAGAGGAAGCATTGGTGAGAATCACCCTCTGGGTTCGTCCATTTAACCAATTCCAGATCCACCTCACCGTAGTTTTGCCTAGCCCACATTGGACTAGTTTCCTTGCCAGAAGGTCATGGGGGACCTTGTTACTTCAGTCTCTTGTTACTTCAGTACCCCAACTGAAGGCAAAATCTTATACAAGAATCTTCTTCTCTCTATCTCCCAGACTACAGACTGACCCAAAGTGGTTCCTTCATTACTTCAATATCCCAACTGAAGACTCAAACTTAAACTAGGAACCTCTTCACTCTAGCTCCCCTGGCTAGAGACTGAATCATTTTTAAAATGTTCCCTCTTTTCTTCTCAGCTAGCTCCACCCCTTTTCCTTGGTAGCCACGTTAAAATGGATACATTTCTATTGCAGAGGCTACGAAACCTTGGTGACGCATCGACCAATCAGATGTAGCCAACTCCTGCCTGCCCTTGCCATATCAACATAATAAACATAGACAAAACCTCCATTAAAGTAAGTTTTTCCGTTACAATCAGCAATTTGAGAGGGCTTGCGCCACCATCTCCTTCACTACCCCGGAATGGCTGCGGGGCACCCTCATTGTTCATGCTCTCCCAAACATATTGCTTTTGTGATTAATCACTATACTTTAATTATGTTCAATGTGTAACAATGAAAATACATCCTGTATATCAGATATTTACATTACATTACGATTCATAACAGTAGCAAAATTACAGTTATGAAGTAGCAATGAAAATAATTTTATGGTTGGGGGTCACCACAACATGAGGAATTGTATTAAGGGGTCACGGCATTAGGAAGGTTGAGAACCACTGGACTAAGTGACTACATTTGCCTCCCAGGAGACTTTCGAGGACTAGGACCACACCAAAAAGTCACTTCGTGTTCATTTCCTGTTGGAGAGGTCAAAGGGGAATGCCAAAAATGTGGTGAAAAGGTCCCCACGATGCCTAGAAGTGTTCTAAGGGCAATGTTATTTTTTGAAGTGACCTCTGAAAGGAACAAAAATGGCCTTGGAGCCACATACAACCTGCACATTGCCCACTCTGGACCTCCCCTGATTTGTGACATGCTTTTCAACTGAGTTGATTTCCATATCACTAACGGAGAGACACTCAGTGTCACAGACAGGAAAGGCTATACCTGGCTTCTTGTACACTTCTTCTTCATCGCCTACTTCATCCTCCGTGACCTCAGAGCCTGTAGTGTATTCCTCATCTTCTGAAAGCAGCAACTGTTGCTTCTATGGAGGGTTACAAAATAAAAGCAAATAACATTTTTTTCTTTTATAAAGCCACAAATTATTCTCTTCTTCTCTGCGTCCTCCATGCTAACACAGAAGGGTGCTCCACTTTATAGTAGGCATCCCCAATAATTTTTCCTACAGAGTCCCATTCACCAGCTGTTGTTATAGTATTTGACTTTGTCAGTATACATTAGACATGGGCAAATTTCAGCCCTCCTGGTGTTTTGGACTTCAATTCCCACAATTCCTAACAGCCTACAGACATATGGGCCGGAGGTTTAGCACTGCTGGTAAAGTCATCAGTAATTATAAGATTTATCAACCAAAAGGTTGCATGTTCGAAGCCCCGAGTCGGCGTGAGCTGCCAACTGTAAGCCTAGCTTAATGTTTACCTAAGCAATTCGAAAACAGCTTTAGATGTGATTAGAGAAATTAGGTATCGCTAAAAAAAGCGGGGAGGTGTTTTACGATGCCATAAAGAAAGGAGATCAGAAAATGCTGGGTTCTGTGTGGGAAGTTTAGCCCAATTCTATCACTGGTGGGATTCAGAATGCTCTTTGATTGTAGGTGAACTATAAATCCCAGTAACTACAAATCCCAAATGTCAAGGTCTATTTCCCCCAAACTCCATCATTGGGGCATATGGAATATTCGTGCCAAGTTTGATCCACATCCATCATTGTTTGAGTCCACAGTGCTCTCTGGATGTAGGTGAACTACAACTCCCAAACTCAAGGCCAATGCCCACTAAACCCTTCTAGTGTTTCTTTTGGTCATGGGAGTCCTGTGTGCAATTTTGATTCAATTCCATCATTGGTGGAGTTCAGAATGCTCTTGGATTGTAGGTGAACTATAAATCCCAGCAACTACAACTCCCAAATGACAAAATCATTTTTTTGAGTGATTGTCACTCCTTGGGTTAGTAAATGTCTTGTAGCCAAATTTGGCGGCAATTCATCCAGTGCTTTTTGAGTTCTGTTCATTCCACAAACAAACATTACATTTTTATTTATGTAGATTTATTTACAGTATTTATATACTGCCTTTCTCACCCCTGGGGGGACTCAAAGCAGTTCATTATTTAGATAGTAGACTGTGATCCCTTGAAGGAAATATATTATCAGATAAATGATTATGGAACATTAATAGATAGAAAGTATTGCACTGTTTGCAACAAACACTTGCAAAAGTATGTCTACTTGAATGAATAAATAAATAAATAGGAGCGGATGAGTTACTGTGCCAAAAATGACCAGCAAAGAACCACAGTGAATGTAACACAAGTGTTTCAATAACGCAAACAATACTTAAAATGCAAAAAATATTGGCGTATGAGACGTAAGTGCAATTGGAACAAACATACCAGCTGAAGAGTCCAGTTCTTCAGAGAAAGGAACTGGAAGAAAAGCAAGAAAGGGAAAGCTGATAGAAGCAAAAACTTCACAGAATGTGGTGGCATATTTTACGACACTTAATTATAACCCTTCTGTAAAATGTAAGCAAGGTGTGAAAAATAATTTACACATTAAAAAAAACATTTCTGGGGGCTGCTGACACAATGAGTCATTATTTAACCAGACACAAAGAGGAGGAAGCGACAGGGAAGAGGGAAAAAGAGTATATGAACATTGCAGCAGCTTTTAAAACAAACTGGTTTTTATTTTAGCTTTTGTGAATATAAGCCAACTTATTTATATGCCGGACAGAGTGATATTAAAGCCACAGAGATTAAGAATATTTACACAGTGGAGATGAGATAGAATGGAAAAGAAACAGTTGAAATTAATTATATTCACAAATTCCGATCCATTATTAGAAGTATGAACAAAGACGACAGCTTCATGAAACTATACATACAGTACATATATCTCAATACAAGAGTCATCACTATTTCATATGAAACAAAAGTAATCTTCTCATATAGGGTTTTGAACCCAAGGAAACTGACTTTTGATAAGCAGATGTATAGTTTTTTTTTCACCCACCAACACTAACTGAACACTGTAAAGATTTGAAATATCTATGTCACCTTATGCTGCCCTTTAGAAACTTAGGATAAGAGTCATGATTTGCATCTTTCTGGATCCTATTAGTTTTTAAATTTCTTTCAATTATGTTTCAATGAGGAAACAAAGGAAACTTATGGAAGCGTTTAGCCTCCTCATTATTTCCCATTTAGACACTTCATTTTTATAAACGGGGCATTTCCTTGCCAATAATCTGTTGTTTGTTGTTGTTCATTCGTTCGTTGTTTTCGACTCTTTGTGACCTCATGGACCAGCCAATGCCAGAGCTCCCTGTCAACCGTTGTCACCCCCAGCTTCTTCAAGGTCAATCTAGTCACTTCAAGGATGCCATCCATCCATCTTGCCCTTGGTCAGCCCCTCTTCCTTTTTCCTTCCATTTTCCCCAGCATCATTGTCTTCTCTAAGCTTTCCTGTCTTCCCATTATGTGGCCAAAGTACTTCATCTTTGTCTCTAATATCCTTCCCTCCAATGAGCAGTTGGGCTTTATTTCCCGGAGTATGGACTGGTTGGATCTTCTTGCAGTCCAAGGCACTCTCAGAACTTTCCTCCAACACCACAGTTAAAAAGCATCTCTCTTCCTTCGCTCAGCCTTCCTTACGGTCCAGCTCTCACATCCGTAGGTTACTACGGGGAATACCATTGCTTTAACTATGCGGATCTTCATTGCCAGTGTGATGTCTCTACTCTTCACTTTTATTGAGATTGCTCATTACTCTCCTCCCAAGAAGTAAGCATCTTCTGATTTCCTAGCTGCAGTTTGTGTCTGCAGTAATCTTTGCTCCTAGAAATACAAAGTCTGTCACGGCCTCCACGTTTTCTCCCTCTATTTCCCAGTTGTCAATCATTCTTGTTGCCACAATCTTGTTTTTTTTATGTTTAACACCAACCCAGCTTTTGCACTTTCTTCTTCCACCTTGATTAGAAGGCTCCTCAATAATCTGTTATAGCAAGGAAAAACCAACAATTTACAACAGGGATGGGGAATCTGTGGCCTTTCTAGATGCTCTTTGACTATAACTCCAATCATTTCATCATTGGGAAAAGTGAGTGGAGATAATCCAAGTAGAGCTCAGATGTAATTGGTGTTGTTTATTCATTCAGTCGCTTCCGACTCTTCATGACCTCATGGACCAGCCCATACCAGAAGTCCCTGTCGGCCGTGGTCACTCTCAGCTCCTTCAAGCCAGTCACTTCAAGGATACCATCCATCCATTTTGCCCTTGGTCGGCCCCACTTCCTTTTTCCTTCCAGTTCCTCCATCATCATTGTCTTCTCCAAGCTTTCCTGTCTCCAACCCAAAGCACTCGGAGAATTTTTCTCCAATACCAAAAGCATCTATCTTCCTTTGCTCAGCCTTCCTTATGGTCCAGCTTTTACATCCATAGGTTGCTACAGGGAATACCATTGCTTTAACTATGCGGATCCTAGTTGCTAGTGTAATGTCTGTACTCTTCACTATTTTATTGAGATTGCTCATTGCTCTTCTCCCAAGAAGTAAACTTCTTCTGCTTTCCAGGCTGCAGCCCGTGTCTGCAGTAATCTTCATACCTAGAAATATAAAGCCTGTGACTGCCTCCATGTTTCTCCTTCTATTGCCAGTTATTTATCAGTCTGGTTGCCATCATTTTGGTTTTTTGGATGTTTAACTGCAACCCAGCTTTTGCACTTTCTTCTTTCACCTTGGTGAGAAGGCTCATCAGCTCCTCCTTGCTTTCAGGCATCAAAGTGGTATCATCTGCATATCTAAGCTTGTTAATGTTTCATCCAGAAATTTTAACTCCAGTCCTGGATTTGTAAAACATTGCATGTCGCATGATGTGTTTTGCATACAAGTTGAATAGGTTGGTTGAGAGTAGACAGCCCTGCCATACTCCTTTCTCAACCTTGAACCAGTCTGTTGTTCCGTGGTCTGTTCTTAGTGTTGCTACTTGGTCATTATACAGATTCCTCAGGAGATAGACAAGGTGACTTGATATCCCCAGACCACCAAGAACTAACTTATTTATTTATTTATTTATTTAGAGCTTTTATAACCCGGTCTTCTTGACCTCTGAGGAGGGACTCAGGCCAACTAACAACAGAGAATCAATATACAAATAAACTAAAGCATCATAGTACTTTAATACATTAAAACACATTAAAATACAGATCAAGAATTACATAAAGCCAATTAGTCATGGTAAATCACAAATTCACAAACTTGTCACAATTTATTATGATCCACACAATCAAAGGCTTTAGAATAGTCAATAAAAAAGAAAAGAGAGGTTTTTCTGAAACTCCATACCCTTATCCAGTGGATATTGGCAATTTCTTTCCCAAAGAAAGTATTAAATCTGAGCGGTTTTCAGACAATATTCCAATCTATAACTGGCATAGCTACATGAAAATCAAGAATAAAAGTGGGAAATACAATTACTCACAGCATTGATCTCTCCTGTTTTGGGGCCCCATGGTGAGTTTGGCTCCAGCAGCACGTCACACTCAATGGCCTTCTCATCATTCAGCCCAATTCCAGAATCACTGGCCAAAAGAAACATTTAGGTAAATGATGGAACAGGTGGGCAGACTTTGGAATCCAGAAAAGCCAATTCAACTAGTAAGGCTCTCTGGGGATTACTTTACTCAGAAAAAATACAAGAATACAACTATATTCTGACCTGTTTGCATCTTTGGAAAAAGGTACGACAATGACATCCCTGTGCTGAGTCAGGTCATTCAGTATTTTCGCCGTCTGGTAAGGCATGGCATCCCCGCCTTCGCCACCTGCAGGCAAGCCGATCATATGGTCTCTTACTTTACATCCCTTTGAGTTTGAAAAAAAAAGTAGAATGACATCAGGTTAGACAAGCGACTTGCCTAATGTGACAAGGCAGAGTTAAGCCCTGGCCAAAATCTGCAAGAGCCACTTCAAACTATGGCTTCAGATTCCACTCTTGAAGCCCATCTTAGTTTCAATGTTTAACTAAGAAGCCCTACATCATCGGCGTTTCTCAACCTGGAGGTCGGGGCCCCTGGAGGGGTTGCGCGGAGGGGGGGTGTCAGAGGGGTCTCCAATGATAATCAGAAAACACAGTATTTTCTGTTGGTCATGGGGGTTCTGTGTGGGACGTTTGGCCCAATTCTATCGTTGGGGTTCAGAATGCTCTTTGATTGTAGGTGAACAATATATCCCAGCAACTACAACTTCCAAATATCACGGTCTATTTCCTCCAAACTCCACCACTGTGCACATTTGGGCATATTAAGTATTCGTGCCAAGTTTGGTTCAGATCCATAGTTGTTTGAGTCCACAGCAGTCTTTGGACTCTTTCCTCTACAACTCCAAAACTCAATAATAATAATAATAATAATAATAATAATAATAATAATAATAATAATAATCTTTATTTAATACCCCACCACCATCTCCCCAATGGGGGCTCGGGGCGGCTCACATGAGGCCCAACAGCATATTACAATAAAGTAAAAGTAAAACACAATAACAACACAGTAAAATACATACAGCATACGAGTACAAAAAAACGATAAAGCAAAATCATGCAAAATAAAATAAAATAAAATAAAATCATAACATAACATAATATAATATAAAATAACATAACATAACATAACATAACATAACAATGAGCGGGCCGCATGTGCAAGATAAAAACTAAGATACTAAAAATACTAAAATCAGTCAATGTCTCCAAACGCTTCCAGTATTTCCTGTTGGGCATGGGAGTTCTGTGTGCCAAGTTTAGTTCAATTCAATCATTGGTGAAGTTCAGAATGGTCTTTGATTGTAGGTTAACCACAAATCCCAGCGATTACAACTCCCAAATAACCAAATCAATCCCCGCCCCCCAAACCCCACCAATATTCAAATTTGGGCATATCAGGTATTTGTGCCAAATTTGGTCCAGTGAATGAAAATATATCCTGCATATCAAATATTTACATTACAATTCATAACAGTAGCAAAATTCCAGTTATGAAGTAGCAATAAAAAATTTTTATGGTTGAGGGTCACACCACAACATGAGGAACTGTATTAAGGGGTCGCAGCATTAGGAAGGTAGAGAACCACTGAATTACATGTTTATGCTGTTTTCAGCTGAAGAAACTTGAATAGCTCCAAGGATTGGAAGAGACCGTAAGGGCCATCCAGTCCAATCCTCATCATGATTTGATTGTGTGCAGGAACACACAATCAAATCACTCCCAACAGATGGCCATCCAACCTCTGCTTAAAAAGCTCCAGGGAAGGAATCATAAAATCATAGAATCAAAGAGTTGGAAGAGACCTCATGGGCCATCCAGTCCAACCCCATTCTGCCAAGAAGCAGGAATATTGCATTCAAATCACCCCTGACAGATGGCCATCCAGCCTCTGTTTAAAAGCTTCCAAAGAAGGAGCCTCCACCACACTCTCACTCAACTCAGACCTTTCACGTTTTCTCCCATCTCTACATACCTTTGGAAGAGGCGCAGGATCAAATCTGAGAACCTTTTGGTTACAGCAGGGATATACTCCGGTGCCAGAGGAACCAAGAGAACTTGCTATTCCAAGGTAAAGCACAGGCTGAGGGTGGTATTGGCAATGCGAGAATTCAGTGCACAGGAAGGTCTGTAATGATAACCCCAATTGCAAGATTTACCTTTGATGATTAAAAAAAGGAGAAACAGCAGGCACGGGCCAACTTGAGCCCTCCAGGTGTTTTGGACTTCAACTCCCACAATTCCTAACAGCCGGTAGGCTGTTAGGAATTGTGAGAGTTGAAGTCCAAAACACCTGGAGGGCCCAAGTTGGCCCATGCCTAGGTAACGGTATCCCAAACCACAGAAGTGTTTTCTTGCCAGCATCATCTCTTCTCATGCTATGAAATTATTTCAGAATGGTCCACCCATATTTAAATCAGTGGCTAGGCACAGGCAATCCATGGTTCTAAATGGTTCTAAAGTATTTACAAAGCAAGAGGGCGCTGGTGCTTTGCTTCTACAGTGTTGCTAAAGTTCTGGTGGTGAAAATTTCAGACCTCTAACAAAACTTTCAAAATTTCGTTATAAATAGCTGTTCCTAATTGGTTCTGTCATAAAAATCTCGAATAATGGAATAATAATGAAATTTTGAACGTTTTTAGAGTTCTGAAATTTTTACCACCAGAACTTTAGCAACACTGTAGAAGCAAAGCACCAGAGCCCCTTAGTTTTGTAAGTACTTTAGAATAATTTAGAACCATCAGTGGTGCAATGGGTTAAACCGCTGAGCTGCTGAACTTGCAGGTCTTGGGTCAAATCCGGGAAGCGGTTTGAGCTCCTGCTGTTAGGCCCAGCTTCTGCCAACCTAGCAGTTCGAAAACATGCAAATGTGAGTAGATAAATAGCTACTGCTCTGGCGGGAAGGTAGCGGCGATCCATGCAGTCATGCCGGCCACATGACCTTGGAGGTGTCTATGGACAACACCAGCTCTTTGGCTTAGAAACAGAGATGAGCACCAACCCCCAGAGTCAAACATGACTGGACTTAATGCCAGGGGAAAACCTTTACCCTTACAATAGATTTACCTATTATCTCTTCTCAGATCATCCCTCCAAATGTTCAAAATTTGAAAGCTGCTACTTTAAATAAAGACATATAATGACCTAGAGTGGCAAAGAAACCCCCCCCCCCAAAAAAAACACTTACTTGATTACATCGCGAACATGCCAGAGAATTGACTGTCCCCCAAAGGCGCCAGTAGACATCTCGCCAAGACTTCAATTCCTCAAAAAGGCTCAGCAAGTACTCATGGACATCCCAAGATTTATCTCTGTACACAAAGAGCAACGCGGGGTCAGACAGATCCAAGTGTTAGTTCTAGCAAGCAGTTGTTTGTACCATACTTTCCCCAAATTAGATTGGGCCTTATTTATTTATTTACTATATTTATATACCACTTTTCTCAGCCCTCGGGTGACTCAAAGCAGTTTACAGTAGCAAAATTCAATGCTCAAAACATCATAGAACAGTTAAAAACAATTAAAACAATAGCATAATAAACAATCATTATAAAACCAATAGAACATCTCATTAGCGTGTCTTAGTTAAAATCAAGATCCAATCTCATCATCCAATTGTTCCATATTCCAATATCTCATAAGTTAGAAACAACTTGAAGGCAAACAACAACTTCACCTATGAAAAAGGAACCCACAATCACACCCTGAAGAGCTCCGACAACTGAATTGATAAGGTACCTTATGTGGACATAGATAATATTTCCATGCTGATCTACGTTAATCTTTCCAGGAACACATGGTATTCTTCTTTCGGTGTCCTTAATAAGAAGTTTCTTACATAAGCAGCACCTGTTAAAAATAAATAAATGTTCTATCTTCAGATTTAGGGAGATGCAAAAGGAAAAAGTACATGGGAGGCAAATCTGTGCCTAGTTCCTTTACCTGTAGAGAGTTGCAGCACTTCCTTGAGAATCTGGGTTCTGGTATTCTGGATCAAATAACCGCTCTATCTTCTTGCAGAAAAGCTTGCTGCCAATAGTAAACAAACATGTACTGTAAATGCAAGCAACTAAACAAATCACTAAACTTCGTTTTGTGGATTGGTGTTTTCATTGCTTGGTCTTTTAATTTTTCATAGACAGTTATTGGAATTATTATAAGTCATACAAAGGATCTACAGTGAATTTAGAGCAGGCATGGGCAAAGTTGGGCTCTCCAGGTGTTTTGGACTTCAACTCCCACAATTCCTAACCGCCTACCGGCGGTTAGGAATTGTGGGAGTTGAAGCCCAAAACACCTGGAGGGCCCAACTTTGCCCATGACTGACCTAGAGAGTCCTACAAACATTTATGGGGATGAGGGAGGGTATTTTTTTTAGAAGCATGGATAAAAGAAAGAGTGGATATTTAATCCACGGCTAACACACTGTACCTCTTAAACTTATCCCTCTTGTCCTTCACCTCTTCCAGTTCGTTATGCGTGAAAAGGTCTGCGATGCGTGTCAGGAGGTTAGCATTGATGCAGTTCATATTGCACGGTGTGGCTACAATTGCGCTCATATTCTTGTGGCAGTAATTAATGCATTTTTCCACCTGGGGACACAGATGTATACACATGTAATCTACGTAATAACCACAGAGACCTGTTTTACACTATGTTGTCTTGCATTTTTTAAAAAAAAGAGTTTCAAATAGATCTAAAGCTTATAAGTAACAGCTGAGAAAGTCACACATTCTTTAATATCAAAGCAGGACACCGCTTGCTGTCATTTTTAAATAGTGAATCAGTGACTATAAAAGATTATAGAAGACTATAGGAGCAATAGGAGAAGGATATTATAATATATTATTATTATTATTTTAGATTATAATATTTACTTATTTATTTTATTAATAATTATTATTAATATTATCAATATTATAAAATTATTATTAATTAATAATTTGTTAATAATTATAGCATTATAATGTGATGCAATATAATACTAGTAATAATATATTATAATTATAATTATATATATACTATATGTAATATTACTAATAATATTGCAATATAATGGTATAGTGCAATATAGCAACGTTTAGTGCTGATATTGTACTATGCTAATAATGTTATATTTTGTATGTATATATACCTTGTAAGCCGCTCTGAGTCCCCTTCAGGGTGAGAAGGGTGGCATATAAATATTGTAAATAAATAAATAAATAAATAATAAAAGATAATCTTTTATCCGAAACTGAGATAAAAAATTAGGAGAGTGAGGATGTATCTATACAATGGAATTAATTTACCAAATGATTCCAATGTTATTGTTAAGCATATCAGCATGTCAACCCCCCTGTTTAAACAGCTCCGCGGGCTGCCGATAAGCTTCCGGTCCCAATTCAAGGTGCAGGTTTTCACCTACAAAGCCCTAAACAGTTTGGGACCTGCCTATCTTCACGGCTACATCTTCCCCTACGAACCCACACAGGCTCTACGATCTTCCGGGGAGGCCCTTCTCTCGCTCCCACATCCGTCTCAAGTGCAATTGGTGGGGACGAGGGAGAGGGTCTTCTCGGTTGTTGTTGTTATAGGAGGAAATTTTGGTATTTTCCAAAATTTCAAGGGCCGGGCTTTAGCACAGCAGGTTAAACCACCAGCTGCAATAAATTTCGTCAGTGGAGAGCTTGACAGTTTGAAGCCCGGGTCAAGGTGAGCTCCAGACCTTTCGCCCAGCTTCCGCCTACTTAGCAGTCCGAAAATAAAATGTGAGTAGATAAATAGTGACTGCTTAAGTGGGCCAGTATTAAGGCACCCATTAGGAAATGCCTTATATATGCATATATATATATATATATATATATATATTCCTTTTTTTCTTTCTCTTCTTCTCTCCTCTACTTTTTTTCCCTTTCTTTTTGTTTGTTTTTTACTTGTCAGATTTGTTAATGTTGTTATACTTGTCACCTTGTCATATAAGTTAAATGTCTTTTATTTTTAAAAATCCTAATTTTTTTTTAAAAAAAGGAAATGCCTTAAAGGAGCTGGGGCTGGTGACGGCTGACAGGGAGCTCTGGTGTGGACTGGTCCATGAAGTCACCAAGAGTCGGAAACGACTGAACGAATGAACAATAACAAGGAAATGCCAATCAAAAAAAGGAGAAAGTTACGAACAAAGCTCTTCAGCAGGGAGATGGAGCGACAGTGCCCTCCCATGGCCGGAACCGAGTACAAGCCTCCATGCCAAGCATGGGGAAAAGCCTATATATACCCCTATCTATGTTCAATTGTCTGTCTTGTCTGTCTATAAAAACAGCATTGGATGTTTGCCACATATGTATGTTCTGTATTCCGCCCTGAGTCCCCTTCGGGGTGAGAAGGGCGGAATATAAATACTGTAAATATAATAATAATAATAATAATAATAATAATAATAATAATAATAATAAATATTTCCTAAGACATTTGGATTTGGTCCAAGTAGCACGTGGTTTACACAGCCGAATCACAAAAACTTAGCTATATTTTGTAGTAACCAATCCTGGCTAGATAATGTTCACACAGCTGGACAACATCTAGTGCTACTCAGAAAACATTTAGAAAGCTTTAGCTGCTATGATACCATGATTGAAGGTCCGACTGGTGATGATACTGGTTTCAGCACAGCGCAAACTGTTTTAACTTCTCAAACTGTTTAATAAGTGCAATAGAGCAAGAGGACACCCAGTATCAACAAAACGGAGAGAATGAGATGGAAACAGCCACAACGACCCAATGTGTACAAAGTTTAAAGAGCACGAATATAACAGCCCGCATTACTGCATGAGGGCAGAGCCAGTCTTTATGCATTTACTGCAAGCCCTCTTGATCATCCTCCTAGATAAAAAAAATGGGATAGAAAACCAAGTAAGCTATTTGTTTACTTGATTTCCTATTTCACAATATCCAAGCTGCCTCCAGGATTAGGTTTCTGTGATCGCACAACTCCAAGCGCAGATGAATTTTGTTGTATACTCACTAATGAATCCATCTTTAAGAACTCGGAGGAAATGAGAATTGAAATGACATTGCTCGGTTCTACAGACAGAAATAAGAGAACAAAAGTGAAAAAGGATTATTAGGTTAAATTTTTAACTATCTTGCGTTATTTTGTAAAAGGAAACACTACAAGAGATTCTTTGCATTACATTCCATTAACAAGGAAAAGGAGGAAATATGGGAATTTGGTTTAGTGCTTCTACAGGAGAAAAAATAATGGAAAATTGTACTTATATGTCTGTGGAATATCCAGGGTGGGAGAAAGAACTCTTGTCTGTTTGAGGCAAATGTGAATGTTGAAATGAGTCACTCTGATTAGCACTAAATGGCCTTGCAGCTTCAATACCTGGATGCTTCCTGCCTGGGAGAATCCTTTGTTGGGAGGTGGCCAATTGCAACACTCACACTCTTCTCCCACCCTGGACATTCCACAGATATATAAACCCCACTTGCCTAGTTTCCAACAGACCTCACAAACTCTGAGAATGCCTGCCATAGATGTGGGAGAAACATCAGGAGAGAATGCTTCTGCAACATGGCCATACACCCCGGAAAACTCACAGCAATCCAAAATTTTATTTGCTACGGTGACACAGCTCTGCTTTAAACAACAAAAAAGGTTGAACTTCTCAAAGTATTTTCCAATCCAAATGGATATGTTCCATTTCAGACAACGGCAAACTATACAATTAGATGTATTGTTGAAGGCTTTCATGGTCAGAATCACTGGCTTCTTGTAGGTTTTTCGGACTGTATGGCCATGTTCCCGAAGCATTTTCTCCTGACGTTTTGCCCACATCTATGGCAGGCATCCTCTGAGGTTGTGAGGTCTGTTGGAAACTAGGAAAATTGGGTTTCTATATCTGTAGAATGTCTTGGGTGGGAGAAAGAACTCTTGTCTGTTTGAGGTAGGTGTGAATGTTTCAATTGGCCACCTTGATTAGCATTTAATGGCCTGACAGGTTCAAGGTCTGGCTGGTGGCTGCCTGGGGGAATCCTTTGTTGGGAGGTGATTAGCTGGCCCTGATTGGTTCTTGTCTGGAATTCCCCAGTTTTGAGTGTTATTCTGACAGACAACGCCGTCTGGATTCCCCCAGGCAGTAAGAAGCCAAACCTTGAAACTCTCAGGCCATTAAATGCTAATTCGTCATAGACAATAGAACGACAGAAAGGCCTGTTGCTGGATTCGAGCACAACCTTGCAAGGTGCCAAAAAGCTGAACATTAATGTCAACACAATATACCTCCTTTCTGTTCTGTCTATTTCTGTATTGTCTATCCAAAACAGCACTGAATGTTTGCCGTGTATATGTACTCTGATCCACCATTAGTCCCTTTGGGAAGATAGGGCAGAATATAAATAAAGTGATATTATTTTTATAGCAGAGTACTTGATGAACCAACCTGGACAGAGAATATTATTTGAGAACACAGAAATGCTGGACCACTCTAACAACCACCATCTCAGACTACACAGAAAAGCCACTGAAATCCACAAGCACGTGGACAATTTCAACAGAAAGGAAGATACTGCTTTGAGTCCCCCTCGGGGTGAGAAAAGCAGTATACAAATACTGTAAATAAATACCATGAAAATGAACAACATCTTGTGGCAGCCATTAGGATAAAATAAAATAATAAAGGGAAATCATAATAATTTGGAATAAAATAGAAGATTTATGTTCCTACCTGATCTTGAAAAGACCATTTCTAATGAGTGAATTTGCAAACATGATATTGATTGACACTGGACCTGGGATCAGTTTGCTCTAGCCGATGTTTACATAGATATGAAGTCAACAAGATAAGTTTGGCAGGACAAAGAAATCAATAGTATCGATCCAAGACTTGGAACATCTAAGGTCATATGGTGAGAGAGCGCCATCCTCTGACCACTTAATGTAAATAGCAGGCAATTTCAGAAGGGCTTTATCCTAAGTAAATTCCTTCATGGTCTTCATACTAAGAAATAAGTTATAATGAAGTAATTAAGGCTGAATTGACTAGAGGAGATAGCCTTGATCAAATCTTATGTTATAAACATATAAAAGCTATAATTCAATTAGAGATTTAAGGAATTGAACATATAAGAGTCATCTTAGGGTAACAGGTGAAGGTTGGGATAAGTTACATAATCGAGCAGATGTTTGGGGTCACAACTTGGCTGCCAAGACCTGATAAAGATGTCCTTGGCAACTATACATGGAAACACCTGTTAATGATTGTATTGTGTAAATGTCAGACTCTTCCTGTGCATGTGTGGTGATATTCTACTATAAAAGACCGAAGCGATTCAGACCTCAGTTGTGACAGTCATTTGAGCTGTTCACCCTATACTCTGCAGAGATAGTAATAAAACCTTGGAAATCGGACAAGCTGTCTCCATCTTCCTTCTCCAAAAGCACTCTAATGATCTTGGGTAACGTATATTCCACAACAATCTGGCTACCAGTATTTAAAAAACACTAAAATCGGGACAATAAATAAAGAGCAACACTCACAAAACCAGGAAATTCAAGACAGGAAACAATCAGGGGCAGCTAACACCTCCCAACAAAGCATTTCCCCCAGGCAGGAAGCAGCTAGGCTTTGACGCTGCAAGGGTATTCAATGCTAATCAGGCTGGCCAATTGCAATATTCACACTTGTCTCCAGCAGACAAGGGTTCTTTCCCCCACCCTGGACATTCCACAGATATAAAAACCCCATTTGCTTAGTTTCCAGCAGATTTCACAACCTCTGAGGATGCTTGCCATAGATGTGGGCGATATGTCAGGAGAGAATGCTTCTGGAACATGGCCATACAGCCTGGAAAACTCACAACAACCCACTATATAATTAGACTTCTTTTATTAAAAAAATAACAACCTCGTTCTATTCAACACTTTGGAGGAAAGCTGCAGAAAAGGGATCAGTTTCGCTCTGCACAACCCGTTGGGAGCAAATCCCATGAAAGAGAATTATTTTATTTTATTGCATACAGACTTCTTGTTTGAAGTAGAAGTCAGGCTTTTCAGAAAATGGATTTGCAACAAAAAGGAATAGGTTTTCTTTTACCTAAGGTGGGCATTTCATGCACCTCATACTCCTTAGTGTTCCTTTTAACATATCTTATCAACCAGTTAAAGATGTGAACGTCACAGTGAACTGAAATGTCCACCTCTTCCCAGCGCTGGGCATCCACAGACAGATATTCAGCAAAGTACTTCATTTCAGAAATCAACAGATCTCGCGGGCAAACAAAATCCTCCTTCAGATTTTTTGCTTCATCACATACATGGATCACCATATTTGGCCTTTATTTGAGAAGACAAAAAATAAATAAATAAAAGGAAAGAACATCACTGCAGCTTATCAACAAGCAATTAAAATGATTTGTTTAGTAAAAGAAAGATTATCCTTCAATGCTATGGAGAATATAATGCCTCAAACAGAAATATATGCAACATGCTTTCAATAGGCAGAAAAGCAAATGTTTAAGCTAAAGCTAAAATATTACTCAGCAAAGGAAATTAAAGCATTGAAAATCAAACTGAATACTGTTAGCAAGATAATGGCAGTACTTGATCAATGATGTATATATATATATACGCTAACACGGTGAACACATTGATGGAGCAGAGAAAAGGTCAAAATATGGCACTGGGTATAGAATTTAACCTCCAAATAATTTTAAATTCCAATTACACATGTATACCTGATTAGGTAAAGGTTTCCCCTAACCTTAAGTTTAGTTGTGTCCGACTCTGGGCGGTGGTGGTGGTCCGACTCTAAGCCAAAGAGCTAGTGTTGTCCATAGACACCTCCAAGGTCATGTGGCCAGCATGACTGCATGGAGTGCAGTTACCTTCCCGGAGACGTGGTACATATCGATCTATTCCTGGCTTCAAGTCCCAAACGCACTTTGTTAGAGATTCAGGATTATCTGCACATTGCACCCACTGCCAAATACCTCTATATATTACCTGTCAGGTTCAGCACTTTTAATTTTTTGTCCATTACATTTGGCCCGGCCCCTAGGTTTTTAATTGCGTCATGGTGTCATTGTTTTACTGTTTTACTGTTTTGCTTGATGTTTTATTATTTGCTTATGAGTTTTACTGTGTATTGTATGTTGTTGTTGTCGGCGGCCTCGGCCTTTGTAAGCCGCATCGAGTTCTTCAGGAGATTTTGCGGGGTATAAATAAAGATGATAATAATAATAATAATAATAATAATAATAATAATAATAATAATCGCATTTGCATGTTTTTGAACTGCTAAGTTGGCAGAAGCTGGGCGTAAGAGCATAAGCTCACCCCGCACTCTGAATTCGAACCGCCAACCTTTAGGTTAGCAAGTTCAGCAGCTCAGCGGTTAAACCCTTTATACCACCAGGGAACCAAACACATTTTGTTTGCCTGAAGGCAATTTTGGGAGAAGATTTTAATAAAAACACCAGCTTGTGTATGTCCACTAAATGGGACGAAAAAGCAAAATTAGCCCAAATTCCCAATCAAAATATGTATGGATTACCTTGCCCAACGGGTAAAACGGGTCATAGCAATACTTAATTAACTACCACCATCATCATTCATAAGGGATAGTCGTATAACACCAACTAGTACATTCCTGGTAGCCATCTGTCAACATTGTCGCCATTGCAATAAGAACCAAGAGAGCACTTAGGCGCCTGCCATCTGCTGCTAGATTGCACCAGCACTTTCGCCCCTTCCCTGTCCCTCTGTGCCGCACTTTATTATCGCTAATTAGAGCACTTTAGACCTAGCACTTTATTAATGTGCCTTGAATGTGTGTTGCTGCTAACTAACTACGATCATTTACGATCACTTACGATCACTGACGGACTGCTCCTAAAATCTATGCGCTGTAAGAACGGTTCCAGTGAAACAGTCGGAACATCGATTACCATCTGTATAGCTGTTACCCATGTGGTCCCTTGCCCCCTTTTGTGTATTGTTTCTGTTGCTCGGGTGTAGCGGAGGAGGCAGAAGAGGAGGTGGACCGGAGCCTGTGACTGAAAGTGTGGTAGGGAGGGGGGAGGAGGGGGAGGGGAGATGCTGGCAAGAACCAATAAACCTAACAACAAGCGTAGGGGAAAATATTCTCATGGCTCGGGATTGCGGCATGGAGGGGGGGAGGTGTTCCGCCAGCCGAGGGGCCCCCATAGAGGTCGTGGTGGGAAGGAGGAGATGCGGGAGAAGGAGACCTCGAATTCGGCCTAATTCGGACCGCTTATCTAAATTAACCACTCCCAATAGGTCTCCTAAGGTAAATTGGTGTAACCAGGTGAGCGGGCCCTCTGGCTTGAAGGTGGTGTTGTTGAACGCCAGATCTGTCAACGGAAAAACAACTTGGATTCAGGATTTAATCCTGGAGGAGCGGGCAGATCTGGCGTGCATCACGGAGACCTGGCTGGATGAAGCGGGGGGCGTAAACCTCTCCCAGCTTTGTCCTCCAGGTTTCTCCGTGCAACACCAACCAAGAGCCGGAGGACGGGGAGGCGGGGTCGCAGTGGTCTATAGAGATTCCATTCATCTGACCAGGGCCCCCATCCCGCAGTCAACAAATTTTGAATGCGTCCACCTGAGGGTGGGTGACCGGGACAGATTAGGGATTCTGTTAGTGTACCGTCCACCTCGCTGCACTACAGTCTCCCTACCTGAGCTAGCGGGGGTGGTCTCGAGCCTGGCGGTGGAGTCCCAACGGCTTCTTGTGCTGGGGGACTTCAACATCCATGCCGAGGCAACCCTCACAGGTGCGGCTCAGGACTTCATGTCCGCCATGGCAACCATGGGGCTGTCCCAACGAATAACTGGCCCCACCCACTGCGCTGGACACACATTGGACTTGGTCTTCTGCCAGGGATGGGAGCAGGGTGGCGGTGTGGAGGAGTTGTCTATCTCTCCGATGCCATGGACCGACCACTTCCTGATTAGATTTAGGCTCACTGCGCCCCCTAACCTCCGCAAGGGTGGAGGACCCATTAAGATGGTCCGCCCCAGGAGGCTAATGGATCCGAATGGATTCCTGACGGCTCTTGGGGAGTTTCCCGCCACCTCGGTAGGTGACCATGTCGAGGCCTTGGTCACTCTCTGGAATGGGGAGATGACCAGGGCAATTGACAGGATCGCTCCGGAACGTCCCCTCTCAAGTAACCGAGCTAAACCAGCCCCTTGGTTCACTGAGGAGCTGGCAGCGATGAAGCGAAGGAAGAGGGAACTAGAGCGCGTGTGGCGCTCGGACCCAAGCGAGCCAAATCGAGCACGGTTTGTGTCCTTTTTAAGGGCATATGCCGCGGCAATAAAAGCCGCAAAGAAACTTTCTTTGCGGCCACTATTGCGTCTGCAAAAAACCGTCCGGCGGAGTTGTTTCGGATTGTCAGAGGTCTTTTAACTCCCCCTACTGCAGGTGGGAGCCCTGACAACTCGGACACACGCTGTGAAGCATTTGCTCGGTTCTTTGCAGACAAAGTCGCTTTGATCCGTTCTGGGCTGGACGCCACATTAAATGCAGTCTCTGGGGGTGACAAAAGCACCTGCTTGTCCTATTTTGATGGATTCTTTTCAGTTTGTGAAACCCGAGGATGTGGACAAGATACTTGGAGGAATGAGGCCTACCACGTCCATCCTAGACCCCTGCCCATCCTGGCTTCTGAAGGAGGCCAGAGGGGGATTGGCCGAGTGGGTAACGGTGGTGGTTAATGCCTCCCTTCGGGAAGGCAAGATTCCAGCGAGCCTAAAACAGGCTATTATAAAGCCGCTGTTGAAGAAACCATCACTGGACCCCACTAATTTGGACAACTTTCGGCCTGTTTCCAATCCTCCCTTCTTGGGCAAAGTCATGGAAAGCGTGGTGGCCTCACAACTCCAGGTATTCTTGAGAGACACGGATATTCTGGATCCGGCACAGTCTGGTTTCAGACCGGGACATGGTACCGAGACGGTCTTGGTCGCCTTAGTGGATGATCTGCGCCGGGAGCTAGACAGGGGGGGAGTGTGTCCCTGTTGGTGCTCTTGGACCTCTCAGCGGCCTTCGATACCGTCGACCACGGTATTCTTCTGGGGCGCCTTGCAGAGATGGGTCTTGGGGGCACTGCTCTGCAGTGGCTCCAGTCATTTCTGGAGGGTCGTACCCAGAAGGTGTTATTGGGGGACTCCTGTTCAACACCACAGCCTTTGACCTGTGGGGTTCCTCAGGGTCCATTTTCTCCCCTGTTGTTTAACATCTACATGAAGCCGCTGGGTGAGATCATCCGGAGTTTCGGGGGTGCGGTGTCACCTGTACGCAGATGATGTCCAACTCTATCACTCCTTTCCACCTGCTACTAAGGAGGCTGTTCAGGTCCTGAACTGGTGCTTGGCAGCTGTGATGGTCTGGATGAGGGCGAACAAATTGAAATTGGATCCAGACAAGACAGAGGTACTCCTGGTCAGTCGCAAGGCCGAACAGGGTATAGGGTTACAACCTGTGCTGGATGGGGTCGCACTCCCCTTGAAGGCGCAGGTTCGCAGCTTGGGTGTGATCCTGGACTCATCGCTGAGCCTGGAGCCCCAGGTTTCAGCGGTGACCAGGGGAGCATTTGCACAGCTTAGGCTCGTGCGCCAGCTGCGCCCGTACCTTGGGAAGTCTGACTTGGCCACGGTAGTACACGCTCTGGTCACATCCCGCCTTGACTACTGCAACGCTCTCTACGTGGGGCTGCCCTTGAAGACGGCCCGGAAGCTTCAGCTAGTCCAACGCGCGGCAGCCATGTTGTTAACAGGAGCAGGGCGCAGAGAGCATACAACGCCCCTGCTGTCCCAGCTCCACTGGCTGCCGATTTGCTACCGGGCCCAATTTAAGGTGCTGGTGTTATCCTACAAAGCCCTAAACGGTTCCGGCCCAAAATACCTTGCAGACCGCATCTCGGCCTACGAGCCCACGAGGACCTTGAGATCATCCGGGGAGGCCCTTCTCTCGGTCCCGCCTGCCTCACAGGCACGTCTGGCGGGGACGAGAGAGCGGGCCTTCTCGGTGGTGGCCCCCCGGCTGTGGAACACCCTCCCTGCTGAAGTGAGACAGGCGCCCTCTTTGATGGCCTTTCGTAGGAGCCTGAAGACATGGCTCTTCGAGCAGGCCTTCAACTGAGTGTATCATTGGAACGACATTGGAATGGACTATGACCTTGGAATTGGCTATGACCCCAGGACTTGACGAAGCGGATTTTTAGCATAAGTATATGTTATGTAGTAGTAGTTTGTTGTGTATTGTCGTGACTCACTGTACATTGTCTTTCCATGTTGCTGTTCACCGC